ACGTGTTCTCCGCTACCTGCAGGGTACGCGTGAGTACGGGCTAGTGTGGTATAAAACGGAGTCGCCAGCAATGCAACTAACAGCTTACGCGGATGCAGATTTGGGAAACGAGAAAGATGATCGTCGTTCTATCACAAGTTATGTACTTCAGCTGAATGGATGCACGTTTGCTTACAAGAGCAAGAAGCAGCCGGTCATTACGGACGATACGTGCAGTGCTGAGTTTGTGGCAGCTAGTGAGTGTTCAAATATGATCATGTGGACACACAATCTGTGCATTGAGCTGAAGCTCCGACGTACAAAGAAGACTATTCTCTATGAGGATAACCAAGCTGCGATCCAAGTGATTAAAGAAGTGCGTAGTAGCTACAAAGTCAAGAGTGTGGATCTGAAATTTCACAAGATTCGTGATTTTGTGGAGCGTGGAATCTTCCACGTCAAGTATTGTCCAAGTGAAGACAATATTGCCTTCACTTGGACAATACTTTACTTGGAAGATTCCACACTCCACATTTCTGACAGAACTGCTGTGGACCAAGTGGTTTCACGAAACCACTCGGTCCACAGCAGTTCTGAAAGCTGCGTGAACGTCTTAACGTGTTGCCGGTGCTGGACAACAAGTAGTGGTTTATGGTGACCAACAAGTGACTACTGCAAGTGGCAGAGGCAGCAACACGAAGTGGGAGTGTGAAGTATTGAGCAACGACAGTTGAGGTGTGTCGTGTTCCTGGCTCTACTTGTCCCTGATTGAACAAGACGGTGGCTGCTAGCTAGTTACTTCATGTTTGTATTGCATAGTTTATTCTACTGGTAACTGGAGTCTGTTCTCCTGGACAGAACTCCCGCAATCCCAAATTATCGCTGTGGGCGAATCGTGTCCTCGTCACGTCTTCTACTAAAAACAGTACTTTCAGCCATCACATTCCTACTACTATACTGACTTCTTAATAAGTCTTTTTTTGGATCAAACAGTTTAACTGAAGCTAAGCCTGTCTTTCTCGGCGCTCGACCTTCGCGGACGACCGTGATTCTGACAATAGAGCTGCTGTTGCAGCAGGAACTACTTCTTCCGGCAGTGTTGCTATTGACGCAGGCAAGTGCATTATGCATCAACTTCAGTCTGCGTTGAAGCCGGCGGCGGCCGTAAAGCAAGCCATCGCAGACTTCCAGTCGATAGGGCCGTTCAAGGTGATCCCCCCTACAGAAAACGAGGCTTCCTACATTATTAAGTGGGGAGTGATGGTCGAGTACCGCGACGAGAACAACAAGCTCACAGTCCGGTGGGCGTGTATGGCCGATGAAACATGCAGAACGTCAGGTGGGAATCTCTACCGGATGTCAACAGGAAAGACATCCCGAGCTGCCCACCATCTTCGACTGGTACATAATCTTGCGTCGCCGAAGACAGACGTTGAAGTTACTGGCAAGAGGAAGCGAGATAGCGAGATCGACAAACTCCGCGCCTCACCACTGTTCGCTAACAATCCGAGATGAGAACATCTCGAGTCCCACGGGGATCGATCCGCCACTGCTCCACCACGTTACTGGAAACACTGAAAATTGTCAACCACAATTTGCCGCTGAGAAGTGGTGAGTATGAAGAGTCGAAGATGCTGAAAGCGCTGGTGGTGAAGAAGAAAATGCAGACGGACCTTGGCTCCAAGCGTGTTAGTGCGGCCATCGTCGAGCTGTATCAGTCCACGAAAAAGGAGAGGTGTAGGATAATGCGTCCTAAGACACGTCCTAAACTGTCCTATTTGTCCTAAATTTTACAGGGAGATTTTGGAGATGTGTCCTAAAAAGCGACTAATCCTTCGTTACAGAATATTATAATTTTGTGTCCTCCAGATTGTCCTAAACCTCAAATATTAACTTTTTCCGGACTATCTACGTAAATTTACGTAAGAGCTACTTAAAACTCACATTGGCTTTACTTATTGTCCTGGGGCACACCAATTATTTCTGAATCTCCACTACTGCAGCCAAGCATCATGGACCATTGCGGCTGCTCCTTCTGCAGCTAGGGCGCTCGCCTATCTGGCCTCTGCTGCCACCTGCGGAAGCAGTGTCTTGTCCGCTCTGCTCACGAGCGCGAACATTCAACAGTGCGGCACGGACCACTGAGATCCCGGACCAGGTCACCATTGACAAGATGTGCGCCTCGACTGCCTGCAACACCCTGCTCGCTGACGTGAAGGCCATGAACCTGGAGGAGTGCCAACTGCCGGTCGGTGTCGGTTCCAACCTGAAGGCCGACCTGGTAGTCTACGTGCCGTCCAACTGCCCATCGACGTCGGCTCCCAGCCCGGACTCGCCTGCCACAAACGCACCTGTTGTCGACACCCCGACGACGCCAGACAGCTCGACGAACCAGGCCGAGCACACCGCCGCGCTAACCAAGACCCCCATCGCTTGCGAACCGCGTCTTCGGATCGACTTGCAGCCAAGTATTGTAGCGGCAGAAAATGAAGGGGCTAGTAATCAAATCCCCATGGGGGGCTCAATTTTGATAAAACCAGATATGACATTTAGATATGTGATAAAACCGCCCATTTTGAGTATGATTTTGGTACTAAAACCGGCTAATTCGCAGCAGTTTTGTCGCTACAGGCTCCCCAAAAAGGTGTCTCCAAGGACCTTTAAACGGGGAAACAGTTGCTATAATGCTGATATTCCATTGGTCAAGAGTGTGGAAAGGGCAAAACAGCTGTACAAACAGGCGTTAAAAATAAAACGTTCAAATTTAAAAAGAAGGATTTGTACATATTTAAAGAGTGATTACCCACCATCTTCCTCATGAGCTTCTTGTGGATGGTACATTCTACTAGCGAAAGCATAAAATTGTAAGATTTTCATATGATATCACAACAGAGCAGTTTTAACCCTACATGGGCCAAAACGACAAGCGCACCTAGGCAAAATTGGTGTCTGGGTCGAGGTTCCATGCCCAGAGCACCCGAAAAACTGTGCTTTTCCCAAGGCGCGTCGCCTCTTTAGTTCGATCGCGCGAGTCCCACCCTCCACTTCTGCCTGCTTTGTCCTCGGCGACGAAATAATCATATACATTGCAAACTAGGGTTTTCTCGCCCGGACTGAGCTGGTGTCTGCGTTGCACTGCGCTTCCTGAAATGAAAGAGATGAAGAGTCTTAATTTATGGAAGAAGGAACTACGAAACCTCAGCTTTCTATCCGCGCCCTTTGCACTTAATTTAAGGCTATTTTGGTGAAGTTATCGCCGATTATCCAAAGATAATAATTTATTTTGGATTAGCTAGCCCCATCATTTTCTGCCGCTATAATAGCCCTTGCGAGTACTTTGCTGCTTTTTGAGCCCCCCCTATGTCGTCACGTTCTGATTATTAACCGTCGTTTGCTATGTGCATGTTGAAGTCGCTCAACCGTTATTAGCGGCTATTATTACCTTCAATGACTATCATCCTTTGAAACACTTTAAAAATATTGTCACACACTTTGTAGTAGAGAAGTTTTGTTGAGGTGCTTTTCGCGCACAACAAAGAATCGGCTGCTCTTGGAGAGTGGGGCTTTAAGATGTTTATTGTTTTTAGCTAGGCCAGTTGAGGATATGGCTTGAGGACAGTGCATGTTGGGCTTGGTGTTGTCCTAATAGGACAGTGGTCTGAGTTGCAGTCTGTCCTAATAGGACAGACTGAGTGTCCAGTTGTCGAGTGTCCTATTAGGACACGCGGACCCTGGCTTGTTTCGTCCTAAAACTCATTGTGTTGTCCTAAATATGGGTTTGTTTATGAGCCGAATTGCTAGTTTTTTATCCCAGGTTTTAGGACAATAGGACACTTTAGGACTTCTAGTAGGACGCATTCTCTCCTACCAAAGGAGATGATGAAGTACATTGCTGATAACCGAGAGGTTTACCCGAACTTCACACTAGTTACCGAATTTTGGACATGCAAAACCACCAGCGACAAATATCTGGGGCTGAGGGTTTACCTGGTCGACAAAGACTGGCAATTCAAATCTGTCCTTCTCGGGACAAAATCGTTTAACCCGGCTTATAGTGAGCGGGAAGGTGGAATCCAAAAGCCATTTCGCATGTGGCTGACGAGTTCATTAGCTGACTTTGACTTGAAGCCCCAACACTTCTTCGGGGCGACCGGCGACGCGGGTGGCGACGTCAAATTTATGCTGCGTTCAAATCTACAGCTGCGCTGGGAGTGGTGTTTTGCCCACATGGCCCATGCCGCCACCAAAATGTCGTGTGGGCTGGGTGGAAGGAGAAGTAAAGAGGCCAACCCTGAAATCGTGGGTCTGATTACGAAGATGACGCTGTTATTTCGAATGTAAAGCTGGTATCCTCGGCTGGAGATTTGTTTGGCGAGCTTTGTAAGGAGAAAACAAAATGAGCATCTTATCGGGCGTTCTGCATCACGATATCTGAGCACGACGAATGCGATGAGACGGGTACTAAACAAATGGGAGGCTGATGTGAGTGGTACAAGATACGAGCAGACCGTGCCATACAGGAACGCCGACCACCTCCGGCTTTTCCTCTGGAAAATTGCCATTCCGAACTCGTCCACGCACTATCACTGCTTGCGCCGGTTGCGGCTTTGAAGTTTAAATGCCAGGCAGAGCGGCCAGAGCAGGTGGAAGTACTGATGTCGCTGTACATGATCCGCATTGACAATCTTGGTCCCGGTCAACCAATCTTACACTACCTGTCAACCGATGAGAAGCCACAGTGGATACCAGCGAGCTCCCTGACACATCTAGCAGCAAAGACCCGTGATCTCTTACGCGAAGCTTTGGACGAACGTTTTTTCGCTACAAAACCACCCAAGAATCACTCAACCGCGCTCCTGTGTTGCCGGCAGCACGGATTAAAGAGAAAGGGAGCCGTCAACAGATTGAACGCAGTCAACGACAAAATTCGATCAAACCTACTATCGTTGCTGAAGAAGGTGGCTGGACCATTAGATGGTGTAGCAGGCCACGTGAGCGCGTCTTCACCTCAGTTGAGCCGTCTAGAGGCACGGTTTGCGCCCCGCACAAGACCTGTTGTGGCGCCTCGCGTTGATAAACGGGCTGAAGATGAATTGGATCGCTGGATGGATGATATGGTGGATGTCGAGCGCAACGCCAATATCGCTGCGAAAGAAACTGTGCTTGAGTTCTGGAAGTGGCTTGAGCATTCCGGACAATACCGAATCATCCCAAAAGCGGTACGTGTGCTCTTCTCGATTCCTGTTTCGTCCTGTCAAATTGAGAGGGACTTCAGCGTCAGTGGTGAAATGGTGTCGGCGCAACGAACTAGTTTATCGGGAGACACCATCGACATGGGCATCTTTATAAACAGGAATCCAGAGTTCGTTAATCTACTGCAATGCGAAGAAATTTCTCGGGGCCAGCACCGCTTCCACAAGCCTTCGAACCTTCTGCTTGACATCGACCCGGACCTCTCCATTAATTCAGATATTATTGCCGAGTTTGTGTCAAGTACCAGCATTTCTAGGGAGTTTAACGAAGAAGAAGAAAAGTCAGCTCTGTGAATAAGTAATGCATCTACGCTTGGACCGAGCAACCATGGTCCTTGCTGTAGACGGGGGCTCTGAAATTCGAGTGTAGAGCTTCTTAACTAGTCGTCTAGGCGGAGCATGGTCTGCAGAATGTTGGGCACCTCGAGAATACCAGCTACGGCAGCCTTGGGGTCCTTGCAACCGATCTTCACAACTTGCGAAGCCATCTGCTCCTGTCAGCAGCCACGCCACCATACCGATGTCGTTCTGGCCACGAGGGCGCGTGGTACCCGTGATGTCCTTGCCCGTCACGTCCAGGATCAGCTCTCGCACCTCCATCATCAGGTTCGGGATGGTGATCTTAGGTCCACCGCCGCGCTTACGCTGCTGCACGTACTTACACCACTGGCGGAGCAGGTTGCACTCGATGAGCTCCAGGAAGTCGTACACGTACATCGTGTTGAACATCGCCTTAGCCATCTGACGCTTCTTGTCGAAGGGGAATACGACCGGGTACGGCGTCGTGACAGGCATGCCGTCAAGATCGCCGTGGGTTTCGTCACCGGCTCATCGTGGCCAACAGCATCAACGTAAGCCTGCACGCGCACCACATAGTCAGTTGGGTTCTCGTAAACGAGACGCACAGGGATTGCCGGGGCATCGATGTTGAAGCGCGCGATGATCTTGAGCTCCACCGTTAACACGCCCAACTGCTCTAGGCGCTCGGTGTAACGGTGCGCCAGAATGCGAACCACGCCTCCAGGTACTGCGGGTCAACGATTGCCTGAGGCAGGATGTTCAGGAACACGTGGCTGTTCTTGGTCGGCGGCGATGACTGCTTCACGAAAGGTTTGGCCAGGTTAACCTCCAAAGCGTTCAGCGCATCCATAGGTGAGCGCACAGGGCGCGGGTACGCATCGTACTGCGAGCGCGAGCTACTGTCATCGTGGTCAAGCTGACGCACCACCGCACGCACGAAAATGCGCTGGAAGCGGTTGATCACGCTGTGCGAGTCAGCCTCCTCCATCTTGGTCATTTACAACTGCACATTCATGACCTCCGATGCCAACGGTGTCACGCTGTAGTTCTGCAGACGACACGGCATCAGCTTGTAGGAGATCGGGGCCTCCATTTGGCGCACGACCTTGTCCTCGTTGTAGTTTAGACGGCCAGGGAACGTGTAGATGTTCGGGTACAACGCCATGTCAGCATTGTGGGACGAGATGTTCTCGATGTTCTGCGGGCGGACCGAGGTCACGAGGCGGATGTTGTGCGACAGAAGCTCGGGTTCGCTGACTTGAGGAACGCCTTGACCTATTCCAGCAGATTTGTCTCCTCCGCGTGCAGGTTCGCCTCCTCCGAATGACGCACATAGACAAGAGGATCCTTGCGCACCGACAACGTCTTGTTCACGAGCGGGAACAACGTCATCACGTCCGTGAACACGTTCTTGAAGGCTTCCAGGTTCGTAAAGCGGACAATAGCCCCGTGACGCTCGAAGTCCGGAGAGATGTTCTAGTAGCTCTCGACCGGCTTGGGCAACGGCTTGTCCACGGTCTCTTGGTCGTCGCTGTTATTTTACGAGTTGTGCTCATCCAGGTCCAGCGAGCTGGTCGAGCTGTTGCGTCGCAGCAGGTTGGCCAAGCCATCGTAACTCTCGGCGGGGGCGATACCAAACCGCCAGCGCGTCGAGAACAGGCGACTTGAACTGGAAAGCCTTGGCGACGATCATCTCCATCGACTCGATGAGGTGCGAGCGGTACATGTGCTGTGCGAACAGCTCCAGCGCCAACTCCCGGGTCTGCTGATCTTCGCGGTCGAGAAGCGAGGTCGAACAGCGGCTGTGACTGGCCCAAGAAGTTCGCGGTGGCCTCAGCAATGTTCGCCTATGAACTGTTAGCAAGGTAGTCCTTGAGGACTTTCTCGACCTGGTTAAGGGCGTCCATTGTATGACGACACCTTGTTGTCGATGAGAAACTGCCGCAGCTCCAGACCCACAAACGAGTACTGTTTCTCCTTGAAGGAAGCCAGCTTCTCGAAAAGCGGCACAAAGCAGCGACCTTCACCGACGTGCGAGTAGTGCTCCGCGCCATCTGAGCTAGAAGCTGCGACAGCAGCTTGTTTTTAGACTCTAACGCTTTGTGTGAGAGAGCAATGGAGAAGACCATGTCCAGGCCAGCCGAGCTCTGCGGTTTCTACCGCGAAGTATTCGTTGATCAGGTCTGTCAGAACCGCCTCCTCGCTAGTGATCAAGCCGTCCTTGTACATGCCGCGCAGCGTCAGCACAGACGCCTCGAAGTCCGTCGGTCCGTGTTGAGGTCCTTGTTGTGCTCGTCCAGGATCTCCGCGACATTGAACACGTGGGACCTCAGCCGCAGCAATCTTACACATCTGGATTTTGTCCGTGATCTTCACGAAAACATCAAGCGCGTTCGACACCTGGTGCTGTACATACAGTGTATGAATTGACACATAACATCTTTCGAACTATCCCATTTGTCTAATGCGGCGCATGGTGAGCTTGCTTGCGGTGGCGCTGGATTTGGTGCCGATGTCCTCCAGATTGAAGTCGTGGAGGAACAGGAGAATGGGTCTCGCGATGACGATACCGGGGCTGAATTTGGCGTGGCGCAGGCTGCTGGGGTTGCTCAACCTCCTGGCATTGACGACGCGGTACCGCAGATGGGTGTAGGTGGCGTCCATAGTGCGTTTCCTTCTGGACGAAGATCTGTGTTTGAGTAGGTGGTACCACCAGCGGTACACCGGAATTAAACGCGGCTCCACCGGTAAAGGACAACTGAGTTTGCAGAGATGAAACGAGTCCTTCACTCTCTTTGCCATTCCGAGCCAGAACTTCTGGTCCATTGTCAATTCGATTGCCCCAAGCGTTCTTGCCTTCACGGTCCAAATTTGCTTCAGAAGAGACGTGATCAGGTTTGCTACAATGGTAAGCTTTTCGCCACGCTTCCTTCATCCGATTCTCCAATTGAAGGTCTTTTGGGTTCACCCAGACATCATCGTCGGAGACGCTATCATCAAAATCGTGATCACGCCTGAGCGAGGACTTGGCTATGCAGCGCATTCCACCGTTGATAGCGTTGCCGATCGTCGTAGCTGCTACTCCGATACTGCGCTCAAGAGTGGCATTGAGCTGCTCTTCAAACTCATCGTGTTCTTTATATCGCCTCCCGAAACTGTGCAAGATTGTTGCGACTGTTCTTGTCGCTCATGACTCACTAAATCTGGGTTGCTCAGCAGCACATCCTGGATAAAAGTCTTTAGCCATTCTTCACCAATTCGATTCGACCGATGCTTGAAGCGCATTTGCTGCTTCTGCAGCTTCTCACGCAGAACTGACGTTGCATTCGCTTGGCGTTGAATTTGTAGGTTCAGTTCCGACTGTGTATTCGTAACCAGACTATGCACGCGAGATTCCAGTTGACGTGCCGCCTGCGTTGTCAGCTCCAAAACCAAATACCGGACTGGTTCCTCCATTCTGGTTGCGATTTCACGTTGAATTTCGCTGCGGGCACGCTGGAGCTCTGTATCGATTGTTTGTTTTGCCTCAGCAATAGCCGCAGCTACCGTTTCGTCCACCACTCGCTGTACTTGCGCTGCACTTAAAGAATCATGCTGCAGGCTTGTTAACTCACTTTCAACGACTTGACGAATGTGACTAGCGAAAGCAGCTTGGCTATTGGCGACAGTTTGTTCGATCTCGACCAAAAGCTTCTGAGCGACGTCCGTCTGTGAGGTAATCGCTTGACTCGACTGATGCACTTTTTGTAGGGCCTCGCCCAGTTTCTTATCGACGAATTTTTCGATCTGCATAACTCTGTCCCCTTCCAACACCTGCATTTGCTGAAATTGAGACGCCAGCTCGTTTTGTGTCGTAGCTAGCGCTTCAATAAGCTGATGGGCAATTGCACGTTGTTGCTCGGTGAACTGCTGCACTCTTGTTTCCGTCGAAGCTTGAACAGCCATCAACGGCGCGTTCTGTGCGTCGTTTTCCGCACGCTGGTGATGCTGGAACATGGCCTGCTCTTCAGCAAGGGCCTGGGTCAGGGTAATGAAGTGCTGCGCGATGTTCATGACGTGTTGGGTTTCGCTTGGAGAGAGTACAAATGCTGGTGTCTGCGTCGTGGACATATGTGGAACGATGGCGGTGTCTTCGCGATAATTGAAGCCGTGCCCAACAGGGGAAACGTCTCGGATCTCGAATGGCTGTGCAGTGTGGGTGGGAGCTGGTTGGCCTTCAGCCAAGGTCACAGCTTGGGCAGTGGCGTAGGCGGCTTGTGCAGCGGCTTGGGCGTCTGCGTGTGCGTCGGCTTCTGCAGCGGCTGCAGCAGAAGCTTAGGCACGAGTCAACACCATTGTTCTTCTCGGAGGAAAATAATGCTTTCCTATCGCAAAATTTGCAGTAGATTAATAGCCAGTAAAATAAAACATTGTTTTCGGCAAATTAGATCGCTGAAAAACGAGCAGAACGAGCAAAATGGGTTCACTTTGCCGTGGAGCACTAAAAACCTCGATGAGCTGATTTTCGTGCTCGTCAAAAAACCTCCTCTGAAGACTTTTTAGGACGGTCCACGCTAGTGCCACAAAAAATCTGGCACTGGTACACCTCCGTTCAAATTCTGCCCAAGCCAGCCAAAGTCGACATCTCATGACCATGCGCGCCGACTTGGACGACTGGGCGTTGCATGACAACCTGCAGCTTTGCGGCTCCGTGTCTCTCCCCACATACGCGAATATGCGCACAGCCGCGCACCTTCAGACCTTCGATATGCGTGACGGCGAAGCTGCTTTATGGAGTGACTGTGGAAGACTTTTCCTCTCGAACGTACTCCATCAGAGCCAAGTCAAGCCACCGACGGAGAAGCTGCTGAAACACGTGACGCTGGACCCACTGCTGCATCCGCACAAGGCTGCTGAAGTGGAGCAAATCAAGCTCAATACCAGCGGCTCACAGATTCTGCTGCTGGCCAAGAACTGGATCAAAGTGCTACGACTACCCGCGAAAAGCAAGCACAAGCCGCAGAGTCTGCAGCGCCGAGCGGAGAATGACTGCATTCAGAGGTTTCTCGTGAGGTTCGAGGACGGCAGTGAGCAGGAGATCGCGCTTAAGGAGGACGAACTAAAGGACCAGGACAGAGTCGCGGAACAGGTCAAACAGCGCGTGGCGCCGGGAAAGCGCGTGGCCTTCGTGTCCCGTGAGCAGTCTGCTGCAGTAGTACGAACTGTGGGCTACTTTAGCAATGTGCGGCATGCGGCGTGGCACCCGCTGAGCGACACGCACCTCGTGGTGCTGTCAGACGCGGAGGAGATCGAGGTGTTCAACACGCAACAGGACGTGTCGAAGCCGGAACAGCGTCATCGATTGGACTTTCCGACTAAAGCTCGCGCCACAGGTGCCTTCTCGACATGCTTCTGCTTTGGAGCTTCGATCCAGGCCCAACAACAACATGCAGGTCAAACGCAGGCTGCGCAGATCTGGGACGCGTTCACGTGTTATGTGCTGCGTTCGGATGGCGCTGTGTATGCACTATGCCCTTTGGTACCTTATGATTGCTGCGCTGACAAGACCTTCCTTCAGATTCTGAGGACTGAGGTAGACGCACAGATTGCAGTTTGCAAACAGAAGATGGAAGAGGCTGGCAGCGGAAGTATACTGCAGTCCCGCCTACTTGAACTCAAGTCGCAGAAATACTGGCTGCGAGAAGGTTGGGCTCTGGAATCCACACAGACGCGGCGTGCCAGCCCTCGCTTTGGTGGACGCGCACCCGTCGGATGTGACAATACTAATGCCGGTGTGTTCTGCTACCTCAGCCCACATGTGAGCGGCATTTCGCCGGATACGTGGCCGATCGCAGTACAAGGACCCGTCGATGTGACCCCCCAGTCGGTGGTAGAAGGCAAGAACCATGTGTCAGGGGGGTCTTCTGCGACGTCGTTGCTTGTGGTGCCTCATGCCTCTCGTAATTTGGCGGAGAAGCGTCCTGGTAGTGCGTCTCCTTTCTTGTTGCGCACGTTCACTTCAGGCCACGTTGAGATGATTCTACTGGACGTTCCTATCAGGCCTTTGTGGAGAAGCGATCGCCACCCGGCAGCTGCGAATGGCACGCGCAAGCTGCCTGCACTGCTGCTGGAGTGCCTTAACCTCGGTATTGATGATTCGGGTGGCAAGGCTGTGCTTGAGCGGGACACTGCTGACCCACGACTAGTCTATTGTCTGCATTCGACGGGCGTTCATGTGATCAATGTGGGTTGGGTTTTCGCACTCGCCTCGGGCAAGCAGTTCACAGCAGTCCCAAAGAGCTCCGTTCGCCACGTTTTCAGCGTGTCTCCAAGCAGCGTTGGACCTTCTCCTGCTTCGTCGTCTGCGATATCAAATGTTGTTGGCGCTCGTATTGTGAAGAACGTGAACTTCGGGCATTTGCTGCTACTTCGTCTCGCATCTGGCAGCTTTGAAGTTGTGAATGTTAGCGCCGCGTCTAGCGAGCTGCTCAAGGGGGTACTCACGGACAGCAGCAATACGAGCCCTGAGAATGTACAGAAGAGATTGCCCGATACGCTAGCGTCGATGGCGTCGTCTAAGTCGCGAGCTCCTGCCAGTGACAACTTAAGTGGCGGTGGGATCAGACCATTTGGAGCTTTAGTTGAGGATAAATTGGAGGCATTAAGCGCCCGTGGAACGAGGGTCACTGGCAACACACTGATGCACGAGGTGGACGACGCTGTGCTTGCGTTTGTGCTGGAGCGAGTGAAGATATTGTATGAGGACGTGGAGTATGTCGATGGGATGGATCAGCTTATGCGTGACCGCCTACAATTGCACGCCACGATAATTAAGACACAGGCAGATAAGGTGGTAGCGGTACAGCAGCACGCGGACGATGTCTGTGCCTCGATGAAGAAGCTACAGGAGAAGATGAAGCGCGCTCTGGCGGTGCAACAGAATCTGAGTAAGCGCGCTGCAGCAGTTTTGCAGGCAGTGAAAGAGAATCAACCGCATTTATCACGTGCTGAGCGCGAGTTCAAGAGTGAGCTGGAGCTATTAGCTGTGGAGATACGCCGCATGAAGCCTAGACTAGCGGAGTTGACGGTTCAGGGCCAGCGTGCGGTGCGATCTTTGGAGAGCGCTGCGCTCTCGGCAACTTCCTCGCGTCGGCGTTGGAGCCCTATTTGCGTTTCTGGCGGCTCGTCGGTGCTGTCGAACGAGAAGAAGAAGATGTGCTTTGATGTCCTGCGCGCCGAGACGCAGCTGATCGACGATACGAAGGTGCTGCTTGAAGATTTGAGTTTGAATTTACAGCAGTTGAAGGAGTAGGTAGCATTGATACTTATCAGGTAGCGCCGATCCGTCCGTCTTCAACTTCTTCTACCATTTTTTGCATTTTCGTTATCCGATAGAGTTATACATTGACTTACCAGCATAATTGCCTGCTGTGTGTCGTGCCTTGTTTCTTGCGCAGCGAGCCTAGAGAGGCTGCGAACGGACGTGGATGTCATTGTCATTCTCCTTCTGGGTTGAATGTCCCGATACAAGTCATAATATACTTCGAAGTAATATAATACATGTTCCGGAATTTGACAATCGACAGACACTGTTACGGATGGTACCCTGACGCTCCAGTTAAGTCCGATGTCGTACCTAATACGATAAATGAGCCAATTGGATCGGTTGTTGGGTCTCAAGTTGAGTATCTTGGAAACTTCCACAATGAGTAAATGATTGCATTGAAATTATCACCGAAAAATCATTTACTTAAGTACTTCAAATAGTTACTTGAAGTACATGTTCTTAAGTACTTACAAGTGACATTGTCATGTAACAAGGGAATTCTCTATCAACCAGGCGGGATTTTCGGAGGTCAACCAAAATCGTAATGATGCAGAAGCTGTACTGGCTTATTAAAATAAGCTAGTATTTCCCTCTTCTATGATAGTATCTATCAGTTGACGGTGCAATAAATGGCCAAAAAGAGATATTGGCAAGGCAGACTGAACACTCCAACGATGTGCGCGAATGCAGCCGGCCGAGCAAGAGACCGCAGCGTGGACTCCACAGCCAATGCACTCCACCGTGGACTGCATTTGCTGTCGCGATTGCTTCATCAATCCAGATGGCACACATGTAGCGGGGAAGCTACAGTAGACGCTACAGTACCTAGGAAACACACAATACTTGTTATAAATAACTCGTGATGTAAGGCGGCTCTTCTTAGGGCCGACCGACGAACAAGAGGTGGCACACAATGCAATACCAGCAGGACTCTCAGAGGCAGAACGCAGTGCGTTCAACGCATCAAGTTATGCGATACGCATGTCCTTCGTTCAACGCAAACTAGTGAGCAAAAAGGTGCCTAGCTTTGCTACCGTTACTGCTGCTGTTGGCCAGCATCGGCAAATTTGACATATTCACAATATTTAAAATACATTATCTTAAAATAAAAAGGAAAGGTCTTATTTTGGAGGTTGAAGTACGGAAAAAATGAGCTTACTCTGATTTCTTACTGTAAAACCACAGCGCTGTCGTGTTTTGCGAAATCCGCTTTGCACCCCTTGAAGTTTTGCATGTTCAACTGGAATTCCATTCGCATGCCTCCAGCTCAAGAGATTCAGGCGGCGCGCCAGTCACAGCGCATGCGTGGTTGAGGCGATCCCACAATCCCCGTCGCTGCTTCTGTACCGGTACAATAAAATCTTTCCTGAGCGGTGGACAGCTGATCTATCAGATATAGCGATATATCAAGTTACTCAGGCCGCCATGAATTTCATCAAATAAAGGGAAGCTGGCAATATCCAAGTTTGTAGTCCATGTATCGAGGAAGCGTGGAGATAGACCTGTTTTAAAAATGCTTCTGGACAAAATCTCACTTAATTTTAAATATTTAGTGAGATTTTGTCCAAATGTTGTATGGAACCAGAAATTGTCATTCTAATTAAAACATCAGTCTAACGTTTGAGGTACTCCAATATCCGTAAATTCAGGAAGGAGCGATTTTGAACCAGAACTGTCATATCCAATCTAACAAGTCAGTATTGGTATAACGTTTGTGCAGGAGGCATGCTCAAATCAAATAAATTCTTTTATATTGTCGGTCAAAATGGCCGATAGTACATGTTATTAAGGCCAATTTTGAAGCTGGGGCGCACCGCATATATTAAAAGAAGACTCCGTTTTCGGAGCAGTATTATAAGAAAGCGCAGTAAATAATTTGCTCCGGGCCGACTGGGGGCAAATACTATTTTTGCTTTCTAAGCGAAGCCGCAGCCACAAATTAATACATGTAGTTGGGTTTTGTCAAGAGGCAGCTAGAGAAATAGGCTGCATTCATTTTACGGAGCATTTTATTATGGGGAAGGCGTTACAGTATTGCGGGCCGGGCGGCGCCACAGTGCTCTCCGCCATGCGATACCGGCAGTGTGAGTCCTGCAAAAGTGCGTTTTCTTTTACCAACGGGTTTGACGCACCCGTCGCTTCTTCAACTGACCGACTGTTTCACGATCAAGCCAGTGGTCGCCACTCGCTACTCTAGGCAGCTCGAATCTCAGTCAAGAAATTCCCACGTCGAATGGAAAGCATTTGGTGCACAGTCATAAGCCCCGAATCCTGCCTCCGCCCTCGCCTTCCTCTTTGTTCGGAAGCCACCGCCGCAGCCGCTTGCCGATCTTCTTACTGCGGTCTACAAGCGTGTCAAGTGCCGTTCGAACGTGTCTGGGATTAAGCGCGTTTGCTGTATTTTTTTTTGAAAGACCGCACACATACCAGGCGCCATCGTCATGAAACGAAACTTCGGATCTCTTAACCTCGCAGCGCTGGACCTCAGCAGCCCCTTCCAAAGGGGCGCTGACGGCGCCGAGTGCAGCCTAGTAGACAGCTTTTCGGCCTTGGACCCCAGCGCAGAGGACTGCAGCTTGGACGCCAGCGGCTCCGAATACAGCAGCGACGAGAACGTTGGATTTCCCATGGAGCGTCTGGATATGCCGCGTGCCAACGTGCATCAGTTAAACATCGATCAGGACATGGGGGGCGACGTCGTGCCTGAATTTACTCTGCCTACTCGTAGCCAGTCAACCTGCCAGTCACGCAGCGAGAACGGTAACGCGAGGGCGAGCCGGCTACACCCAGCGTCGTCGCAACACCTGCACGACCAGCACCAGGTGGAGCTGAACGCGCTGAGGTGTCTAAGCCTCAAGGTGATGCTGTCCAACTTGACTACGTCCAACAATTCTAGCAACAGTACCGATGCGTCCAACAAGCCCAGCTACTCATATCCCGGCGTAAACGACCACGCCAAGACAGCCCTACTGCCGATCCGTCAGCCGTCGCTTCAGAGCGTCTAGATATACACGACTTCACCATGGCCTTCGAGGCTTTTTCTTAACTTACCCTAACGTAATAGTACGCATAATTGTATTGGAAGGCGGCGAGAACTTCTCCGAGAAATCCAGCTCATGTGGCCGGGCTTTGGTCGTGAATCTTCACATCATGACTCGTGATGTGAAGATGGAACCTTGCGCATTGGCCGATTGCCGCGTCACATATTTTGCACGGTGTACAGTAGTCGCTAACTGCATTTCCCCCGCTTTCGCGCCCCTGGACCTTTGATAAACTTTCAGATGTGATAAGTCGAAAAACAAATGAGCAATTGCTTGTATTCTTAAGTCTAGTTAATTTGCAAATCGTATATGGTCCACACGGGGTGCATTACTGTACCTGGTATTATTATAATTGTACTTTGGTAAAAAAGCATCAACGATTACACGACAAAGTGCCTACAGTACAGTACTGCATCCCGTTTGCGCGCCCTTGGACCTTTGATAAACCTCCGGATTGAATGCAAATGAACTATCACTTGTTTGCTTAAATCTTATATATTTAAAATCCTAAATGGACCACCCCTGCGAAAACGGGGTGCAGTACTGTACGACGCACTTGGGTTTGGGAAATTTACCATGGCTTATCTTACGTAAAAAAATCATAAGAATCGAATTTTTTAATGTTGTGATAGCTTTGTTCGAGTAAGTACGGATCCCATGGTCCCCATTTTAATGTAAAGAAAGCGAGAGGCAGCACCGGTGATGATGTCGGCAAAGGGAGCGCCAACACAAGGAGAAGACGGTTCTGCAGATGGAGGCACAGGCTCGAGGCATCGTGGTACTCGTGCTGCTTTCACCACCTGGCGATCTTTTGTTTGGTTTTAGAAAGCCGTGCTAATTTGCGATACCACAAGCCAGTCGACTACGTTTGCGCTGCTCAAGGGATAACCACGGACCCTGTGGACGACGATGTGTATATCGATGACCCGTTCGCCACCCTAGTGGATGTGGTGAATGAAGATGCTGACATGAAGGGTCTGGTGTACGAGGACTACGACGCAGGCGCAGACGGAAACACCGCATACGGAGATGACGCAAGCGCAGACACCACAAGCGCAGACGCCACAGACGGAGACGTCGCAAGTGCAGACGCCGCAAACGCAGACGCCGCAGACGGAAACGCCGCAAGCGCAGACACAGCAAACGCAGACGCCACAGCAGACGCAGATGTAGCGACAGAAGCCGCCAACCCAGACTACGTACACTCACGAGCTACTGCACCTGCCGAATCAAGACCTGATAGTCAAGTCAGCTTTGGCCGAAACGAAATCTGCTACATGTAATGCCAGAACAAGTTGTCAGTCAACTGCGGGGTCGAAATCAAAACCGCAAGCGAAAAAGTCTCGAACGGAGTACGAATAATCGGATTGTCATGACGCAGTAACAGCTGCGCTTCCACCCAAGCGTTTCAAGTTTAATAATGGGGGGGGCAACCCCGCCATGCTACTTCCACTTAGACTGTGTCGACGGGACGGCGCCTACATCAACGAAATACTAAAACGTGGGAAGAGCGAAAGAAGAAGCTGAAAGCGCATAAGCCTGTGACTAACATTTTGTCAGATCTTCCGGTCAAGACATTCAACAGCTGGGATGACTTCCAGACAGCATTCGAAAGGTACAAGGCAGGACAATTTTTGCACTACCGTATTCGAGGCTCTGAAAGTCGGAAGAAGAGCAACAGGTAATCTTCAAGTGGGGGACGCGTGATGTTTTAATATGATATCCTAACGCTTGTATCATTCTATTTTGGTTGTTGTGTTGCTTGTGTGTTGCTTAGCCGCCCCGAAGCTCTACCAATTCCGGAGCATCTATCGCACAGTTTTAAGCAGATGCGGTGTACGCACGGGGTAATGCAAGCACCACGTGAAAAAGGACAACAACGCCATGGTTGGAGGTACACCAGGTGCGAAGCAAGCTTCACGATGAGAGCACTCCTACGAAAGATCATATAACCAAAACCGCGAATGCCTAACCACAAAACAGCGTGAGCTACGGGTGAGTGGGGGCCACAAATCAACGAAGGGCGCGGAAGAGCACGATCACGGAAGAACATGGAGTCCACGGGCAACAGAAGCGTACGAAACCACGAGATCGTACAGGCCAAATTTGACCACTAAATGATAAGTGGTTTCACTACACGAAACCACACTCACATGGAATGACGAACACAGACGAAACATCGAAGTACAAAAGCCAAAATGTTTCTAGTCTGCTGTGAAGTCAGAACCATATCTGTTAAAGCAAAAAAAAAACAATGTTAGTTTAAACTGACAAAAAACTTTGACTGGCACATCCTCGTCACGGTCACCAGAAGCACCCACCAAGCTTATCAGAAAGATATCGGTTGATATCTGCAGTGATGCCCTTCATGTCTGCCAAAAGTCCGAGGTCTTCTCGACTTGGACGGCAGAGGCATCGACTTAGCTCCACGGTACGAATCGTAAATAGTCTTGCTGGTTTTGTGGTTTTGCTTCGAAAAAAACGAAAACAATAATATAATAAGTCAGTGCTCACAAACCAAACAAAAAATGTCAAACATTCTTACCTCCGAGTCCAATTGAACGGCGACTTCTTATTTGACAGCCCCTTTCCTAACAACTTTTGCTAATCGACTCTTTCATGGCTGCTAACTAATCTGTGCTCCCAAACGTTTACGTGGGTTCCAAACGTTTAGTAGTCCATAATCATTCGCGGCCCATGACGCCCCATCGCCTGTACCCTGTCAAGTTAATGAACATCAATATTCCCATGGCCTGTATCCTGACTGATGGGAGCTCTTGCGAGAGCTCGGTGTCTCCACATAGTAGTTTTGCTGTTCCGTCCCCCGTGCATCGCGCCCGTGCATCGTGCTCCCATGGTGTGGCAGGCTACTGTAATGTTGTGCTGTTACTGTATCGTAAGTGCTATCGTGGACTCATAGTGTAAATGTTTCGCCCGTGGTACCGTGTCCTGCCGTGATATCGTGTTCCGCGGTGAAGCTTCGTGCTCTGTAGAAGCTTTCCCCCGTGGTTTCGTGGCTGGACCGCCGTCTGAGCTATCGTATTCTACTGTAATATTGTCCTCGGTGGCTCGGTGAGCTCCAATTCTACATTGGTTTCGTGTTCTGAGGCTCGGCGAATTCCCGTTTATAGCTCCCGTTACTGTGTGCTCTCCCATCGTTTAGTGGTTGGGCCACCGTCCATGCCATTATGTGATCTTGTGGTGTCACAAATGGTCTGTCGTCCGTGCTACCATGTTCTCCAGTAGTATCATGTGCCGTGGCTTGGTGAGCTCCGGTGCTACCCTGGTATCGTATTTCAATGCTCGGTGATTTCCCGTTTATGCTCTCCCGTGGCTTCATGCTTGGTTCGTCGAGTGTGCTTCATGTTCTACCGTGATGTTATGGGACAATTTCTTTCCGTGCACCCTCGCTGTTACGTGTTCTTCCGTGGATTTGTGCGTGCACTTCCGTAGCCCGTGCTTTTCAGCATACTGGGAGGTCATTATTTCAGACCCCACGCGTGGCCCGTACGCATCTGTCATGCTCTAGTCCTTCCAAGTTATAACGGTAGAGAGCTCGTCCGTGGTTTGTGACTTTCAGAATCTTTAGGCAGACAGCAAGGCGAATGAAGACTATTTAACAGTCTTCATTCGGCACAAATTTTGTGCTTAACCCCCCCCTCTTTTCCAGTATCTACAGTAGTAGCAAAAATATCTTCAGTCGTTGCGGGCTGCCGCAATGTGACGGGGTTACATAGCACCTTGCGCTAGAGGAAGTTGGCTTTCGAGAGTATACAAACTCTCAGTGAGCGGCAGTTCACAGGTCCCCTTTTACCGAAAGGGAGCGAAGTGACCAATTTAAGGTAGATTGTAAACTGAGTATATTTATAGGTAGGCTAAGCTTGAGTTAAATACAACATATAAGTCACCTATAGAAAAGCAATGTCATTAGCCAATGGCTGGCCTTGGACGACCTTGGTACCTTGTACCAAATATCCCGAAGTATGACGTGTCACACTTCATGTAACTAGGGGTCCACTTAGGGCTACGTACCCCGTTACACCCCCCCCCACTTAGGCTCGGTTTACCGACCAAGCAGAATGAAGAAGTGTACGTCACAAACTTTCATTCTCAAAGTAAAAAATACATCGACTTGGCCGCGCGAGCGCGGCGGAGGCTCACTTCACAATTAGAGCCACGAGCAGCAATTTGAGCGCTCCTCTTCTTGGTCTCCACATCGACTGCTAGTATGCCCCGTGGCACTGCGAAAAGTGGTGCGAAGACACGCTCCAAGGCTGCTGCCGGAAAGGCGCAAGCCAAGAGCACTAAGCCTCACGGCAAAGGCTCGGCACTCCAGGAGGCTACTCAGGTGGCCTCCGAGGCGATCGGCTCAACTGATGGCGCGGCTGTGGGCAAGCGTACAAGCAAGCACCGCAGTACATCACCCTCGGCCTCCCCAGATAATCGTCCGAACCTTCAGTTCGCTGAACGTGAGTTCGACTCAGGCAGTGAGGACGAAGCAGAGCCCGGGAGCACGCACGATGCTCCTGTGCGCTCTACGGGATGGTGCCCAGCAAGCACAAGGACGACAGCATGCCGTCGCCCGCTAGTGATCAAGGTGATCACAGTCCCAGGACTTCGGTGCGCTCTAAGAGTCCGGCCGTCAAGGCTAAGGGCACTCCCAATCTGGCGACCACGAGGAGGAAGAACCTCGCAAACGTCTCTCGCTTGCCGAGGGTCTTGCGCGTGCTAAGGCCGCTAAAGCCGAAGGCGCCAATCCCTCTAAGAAGCGTACGGCTTCTAAGTCTCCACTCCGCGAGGAGAAGGAGACGGGTACTCCCATCGGGGCCTCTTCGATTCCTCGGATGAAGAGGATGAGAAGGAGGAGAAAGAAGGTGCTATTCTTGAGCCCCGGGAGATCTCTAACGACCTCGACCAGCAGCAGGAAGACTTCCAAGCTGCCCAGCGCGCGCGTGGGGGTTCTG